AGCACCTTAGTAAAATTGAAAAAAGTTAAAATTATATCAATGTATGAAATTTATATCATGCACACTCGAGCCAATCCGGGTCACACTATGAGTGACAAAACTTTGAACATTTTAGCATTAATCTCAATACTGACTAATGTTATAATATTTATATTGTCTATAAAACTTTTAAGATATATTTACAACACTATATTAGTTCAAGAAAATATTCTAAATTACTATTTAATATTATAGATATTTATGACTACTTTGTAGTTCACAGTCAATAAATGAATATTTTTTTGTATGAAATCAAACTACTGGTATATCATCCTAGTACACTATTAGCTCATTATACCTCAATATACTGTATTTAACAATGACTTATAATCAATATTATTACGAAAGCAAAAGCATACTAGTGCACTATAAAATATTACCATTATTGTCGCTAAATAGCGAATATATTGTTTTTGAAAAGAAAACTTTAAAATGAAAATATCTTATGGCTGTATATCGTGGAAAATAATAATTAATTATTTTTCGTAAACAATTTATTATTACTACTGTATTTACTACTTATTTATTATTTACTACTGTAATGCATTGTGCTATTGTTCATTTCAGTGTATCGTAATAAATCACTTTAAACGATACGTATGTTTAATGAATTGATGACTAGTTTTGAGTTTTAAATATCGTGTGAAATATTTCGTAAACTCACAGAATGTGTGCAATATTTGCACGAAAAGCATATAAACCCCATAGAGATCTCAAACTGAATCATGTGATATAATTTAAAACTTTACCAAGGGAATATATAAAAACTAGTGTATATTTTTTATAACTAATATGTTATAACTTTTTTAAAAAATTACACACATTATAAGGGGTTAGTTAACACCAATTTTTAAAAATTAAAATATCATTACCAAGTATAATGTCTCAGCACCTTGGTAAAATTGAACAAAAATTAAGATTATATCAAAGCATAGACCTACGATATGCACACTCGAGCCAATCCGTGTCACACTATGAGTGACAAAACTTTTAAGATTTTAACATTAATCTCAATACTGATTAATGTTATAATAATCAAAGTTTTGTCACTGTTAATGTGTCCCGGATTACATTGTATGGCCATAGTAGGTATAGACTCATCATCTTAAATACTCACCTTTAGCACATGAATAGATAATAAACATGCGCTTATAATCGGTCACTTTTACTTTGTAATTTATAAAATATTGTGATTAAAACTTCAAAATATTTTTAATATATAAAATAATTTACTACTAATAATGCACAACTAACAATGCAAATTAAATAATAGCAATAAATTAATTAAACAACCAGCAAATAAACACGAAAATCGTTGGCTTCCCTTGTAGCTCCATACATTTTGACTCGGAAAATTTGTCCAAGATGGCATCAGTATCAAGTTCATTTTTAGGCCTATCATCATTGCCACGAATTTTATTATCGTTACCATGGCCCCATGAACATCATTTTTATAAATCGCACATAATATATTAATAAATTGCCAACATTTTGGTATAGCATTGGTATACCAAGATAATTGGAAATATTTTAAATTTAAATTTAATGTAGCACTTATATAATGGGACACACATTATTAGTATATAATTATGATGATTACGGAATACGAAAATAATAACATATTTTTAATGAATTTAGTACCGGTACAATAGATATCAAAATAGATCCAATACATTATCTAATTACAAATTAATGTATGGTATCATTGGCACAAATGTTTGAAAATAAAATAATTTAAAAATAATATTTGTCGATACACCAACAACCATGGTGATAAATGATGATAGTTTACACGTGTACTTTATGTTTTTAAGTTTCATAATAATTATCTTTTTAAATAATGCTTTGAAATCTACAGTTATTTATTATAGTCATTTTGACAATAGGTTATTGTGTTTATTGGTAATTGTGTGAAATATATTAAAATTAATTATGAGAACTGAATACATGAGTACTGTTTGTTATAAATATGTTTCAAATATGAATTCAAAAAGTACAGTAACTGTTTAATATAATTTATAATGATTAGTTTAATTACAGTTTGTATTCAATTTTTAAACTTTATATTTGACAAGCAGATCATATGATATATTTAGTTGATATTGTTTTACAATTACAAAGATTAATTAGAAAAATTAAATAAATAAATAAAAAATAAACTTAAATTAAATTGCACTAAACTATAATTTAAATCTTTTTTCATACAATACTCGATACATTGTACGCTAGACTGAAGTATAATAATAATAATAATCAGATAGACATTATCTTTTAATATAAATAAATTATAAATATTCTAAATTTAAACTAGCATATTTAATTGTAAAATATATATTATACAATAAATATCTATGCATTTTATTTATACAGTATAATTATGTGGGATATCAAACAGAACTCATGCGTTATATTAAACACCGATCACTACACCACTGATTGGGTCATTAACCCAACCAACCGTCCCATTGATATATTCACAACTACTTTCCCACCATTACTAACGTATGAGGACTGGGAGGTCAACACCACTGTCAAGGGGGTGGACAACAACACTGTACTATACTATCAATATTGTGGCCCTTTTGTGGTACTATTGCGGACATTCGCTCAATACCTACGGACTAAGTATATTAAAGTTATAGATATTTTAAATTTTAATTTTAAGATATATTAAAAATTTAAAAACTTTATGGATTATTTAAATTCATTATTCAAAATAAAATTCAAACAATTATATATATAATTAATACTTACCATGTATGTTACAGCTTTAAAATAGGGAGACAGTATAGCTCAGCGATTGATATAGCTGACAATTATCGTGAAATGGCAGAGTCACTATTGTCATATCCGAAACTCATACTTATTCCAGCTCCGTACAAAATGTTTTCAACAGTATTCATGGTAGATGTTTGGTATAATTTGAGCAGGTTCATTGGGCCATTGTACGGGGACATTATTATCAGCAAAATGCATTTGGGTTCGTATTAAAACATTTGTTATTATTTCATTTAATTACTTAGTATACTATGTAAAAATAATATGACAATGAAGATTTAATAACTTTGACTATTAAAAACTAAGACTGATAACTTTTAATAGCCAACAACTTTATACTGTATATTTGAATAGTACCCCGATCCGTGTTTGAGTTTATCGACTGTTGGGATCACAACATATACTTATGGCTCATATTGTCTCTCATATCCATTGCCGCCGTATTTGGTGTCAAATACCGGTCGATGAATACAAGTTTGCAATCAGTTTGGGCATACATTTCGGTCATACTTTCCGACTCAATGCAAATCAAACGGAAAGAAAGTTTAATGGAAAGACTATTCGCCGGCTTATGGCTCATGATTTGTGGCACACTATTGCTGTCACTATACTCGGGGTTCATATACGACAAGCTTATGAGCGCCGACAACTACGACAAGGTTGAGGGTAAATGGGATTTGTATGATAAGTCCCATTGGAAGGGATCAATCATTTACGGCTTTAATTACGATATGCATGGTTATATGCTTGAGCAAGGTCCTCAATACGACCCCATGGCTTTGGATTTTATTAGTCGCGCATATATTTGTGACTTGTTGCAACTCCTATATGATATCGATTATCAGATTGAGGTTGGTTTATAGTCCATGGTTAAATTTTTAAAAATGGGCTCTATAAGCTATAGCCATACTGTGTACACTTCAGTTTTATTGTAGCCCCTGAATGGTTGTCTCATCTGTACTATACTTGCCATAGAAACTATACATTTTAATGCGATACACATGATTCACCTTTCAGGGGTTACAATACAACTAAAGTGTATAAAGTTTATTTTATTCAAATAAAAATATTCATAAAAATATTAATGCTTGTTTTGACACTTTAAATTTAACAGATAATAGCACAGATTTTTGAAAATAATAGTGTGATGACTGCCCCAGGATTACTTGGCTATTACGTGGTCAATAGAGTCGGAAATTATTTCATCAATCATCCTGGACACAAATATTACGATACGGCCATAAAATGGTCTCAGCGTGGTTTAGAGTCCGTTCAAATATATATCCCTGATACAAGTAACGATTCGGTGCTATATTTTATGGCAGTACAATCGGAACTACTAGACGACTTCAATCACGTGTCAGTTTATCAAATAAAATGTTTATTGATGATATTAAAATAATTATAAAGATTTATTTTTAGTAACTAAATGTGATTTGTAATTATAATCAACAGGGTCACCGTGCTACAGGAAAGTGGTGTTTACGAATACGAAACGCAAAAATCGCTTAAACCTAAAGGCTATGGTCGCGACATTACTAAGATTGAAAATGTGCAGGTTAACTCCGACGATATGTCTATTTATTCTTTAAGTGGCACATTTTGGCTCTTATTATCGGGTATATTCGTGTCGCTTATCGTATTTATAATCGAGATCATTCACAACAAGCGCTCATATATCAAACGTTATATATTTTATTAATGCACACAAGGTTAAAAATTTTAAACTTAAACTAAAACTTTATTGTAAACATTATACAATCCTTAATTTTCGCTTGTTGAATTATAGATTCCTGGGTTGAAATATAGATCCTTTTTATAGTCCGGTATTTGAATTTCGGGAACATTCACCTTGTCCGTTTCTAAATCTTGCTCTAATCGCAGTAGTGTCTAAAAAAATCAAAATGAAATTATCAGTATAAGTTTTATTTAGATTATTTCTATTTTATGTACTTAATTAATTACTATACATTAATTTAGTGTAATTAATAATAATTGATCTGTCACCTTTTGGAAGATTTCCGACAATTTCTTAGAGCACGCAAACTGTGCGATCGTATGGCTAAATGCCCGTCCAAAGTAGGTGTAACCTAGTGCATCATTGTATAATGCTTTCGTTCCTTGATTAAAATATTGACATAATTGGTAATAAAATATTAATTTATACATAAATAATTAACCAACGAACCTTTAGCGCACGAGTAGATTATGAACATACGCTTATAATCGTTAACTTTAGCCTTTTCATTAAGATTTATAGAGAATTGTAGAAAAGATTTTTCTTTTTCTAAAAAAATATGAATGTGCTTGGTGAATTAAAATTGTAACATTAGTTTGACACTACACAATACAAAGTTATCATTAAACTTTGCTTTTATATAATATAAATTATATTATAATAAATGTTTAAAATATTGTTTTTACATAAGTTAGCAAAGTTTAATGCACCTTTTGTATTAATTGTCTTTGTCAATTAATAAATTATTTTGAAATTGTTACAAGGGTATAACAAATAGACCATATGACAGTCAAGTTAATAGCTTAAATAAAAGTTAAATAAAATGTACTAGTTCACCTATTCGACAGCAGTTAAACACAAAAATCTTTGGCTTATTTTGTAGCTCGAAACAATTACGCTCGGAAAACTTATCCAGGATATTATTTATTGATAGCTCATTTTTACTGAATACACTATCACCACCGTAGCCACGAATTTTATCCTGGTAACCATGGCCAATGAACATCAAGAAAAATGCATCACCATCATGTGTTTCATTAGCTAGGTCATCCAACACCTTATCAATCTCTTTACTTGATTTAAGCGCACAAATTGGTTGAACATCAAAAAGCAACTTGGTCAAAATGAACTCAAATCGCTTAGCTTCGTTCATTAGCTCCGGTATGTTGACAATTATCAATGCCTTTCCCCTGGGATTAGAATCCATTTTGAATGTATGGGTAGTGTCCGATCTTTTAGAAATTGAAACTGCCACGCTCAATTCAATATCGTTAACGTACTCCATTAGTGTTTCGGTCTTGTTGAATTTACGTAGTTTATCCGCGGCTATTTTTTGCTTTGACTTATCTAGTATATCGGCCAGTTTGTCACAATTATCTCGCTCATTTGCGAATACGGAAAATATTCGCACTTTCATTTCACCTTTGTTTTCAAGTTTCTAATTATATAAAATTAAATTAATAATTAATCTAATTAAAATCAACAATCATAATTTAGATAAATATTTTCATTTATTTTTTATAATTTATCATTTTTACTGTAATAATAATTAATATTATTATACAACATTATTAGATAAATAGTTATCATAATCAATATAGTACAGTATTATACGCTATTTCAAATAAACACTACTTACTATTATACTTTATACTGTATTATACTTTAATCATTTAAAGTTTAAATAGTATTTAAAAATCATAAACATACCTTTATGTCATGTAGCATATAAGAGCATGGGTGACTTTTTAATAAACTCATAAGTTCATCAGTTAATTCAACATGTTTCAAAAAATCGCTAAATTGTAGATTGTACACAATTTGCGAATATTCTTGCTCCATATTTTAGCAAGGTATACGTTATAGTGTAATTTAATTGATTATTAAACAATTATATTTTAAATTTTATTATAATAAGTTAATATTTTAACACATAAACATGTTTTCAATAGAAAGTCTTAACACTTTATAAAAATATCATAATAATAATGTATTGTACGGTAATACCTATTGCACTATAAAATGATAATGCTAAGTAATTATTACGATAAGTTGTATTATAAAAATTATTTCTTAGAGATTATCAGCAAGCACAATAAAATTATTTTATATTTGTGTAGTGATTCATAAAAACATATAATTATACATTTTAAATAAATGTCAAATGTGTAAAACATATTGTTAATTAATTAATATATAATATATAAATAAATTGACATTTTTAAAAAGTACATAATAAATTTTTAAAATATTTAACAACTAAGTACTCTATCTACAATTAAAAATTGTTTTTAATATTTATTATAGCGCAAACAATTTTTCAGATAATTCAACTAGCCTACTCGTAATAATTAATCAAATGTATAAAGTTTTTCAATAAGATACTCATAATAATTAAATTCATGTTAAGCTTATGGAAAAATTACTTAAATATACCAAATATCCCATGTTAAGCCCATGGAAAAATTACTTAAATATATCAATAGGTTGTTACAAAGTTGAGATAAATAGGTTTAAAAATCAACGGAATAAAATTTCGACAAATCCAAAAATTACTTTTCTAGGAATGATCTCGCTCATCCATTCCAAAAATCAAAACTCAATTATCATTTATAGTTTTTATGATCTCGATGATCCCTGTCCCATACCAGCCCCTTTAGATCAGGGAAAAATATGGCATATCAGCATGTTCAATACGTGGACGTATCTATTTATTTGTTACGTGGCGCATTTTGGCTCCTATTATCGGGACTATTCGTGTCTGTTATCGTATTTGTAATCGAGATCATTCACACTAAGTGCTTATATGTCAAACGTTATATTTTTTATTTTTGAATCAAACAAACATTTAAGGTATAAATTTTAAAAATAAACAAAAATCTTATTGGAAATTTATATAATACTTAATTTTCCTGACTGTATTATAGATGCCCCGGGTTGACTAAATTCTATTACTATATGTGTGCAAACTCGGCAGTTATTCACAAATACAGTGACGCTATATGTCGGGGAGTGTCTGTGCGTTGAGTGTGTTATTCAATACGAGTCTCAAAAGGGGTCTCTGTATCTAGGTATTAATATCACGACATTATGGCGATTTTCAATGATGTTTTAATATTAGTAATAATAATGCGTTATATTATTAAATGTTATTAAATATGATTTATTAAAGTCGACATAATTTTACTTTATAAATTATTATATTTATAATATACATGCATTAATGTTTTTATTTTAAAATATTGTTTCTGTTTTAAACTTACCATGCATATTCGAGCCAATCCTTGTCAATCCTATGAGTGACAAAACTTTGAACATTTCAACATTAACCTCAATACTGACTAATGTTATAATGTTCACAGTTTGTCACTATTAATGTGGCCCGGATTATATTTTATGTTCATCGTAGTTGTAAACTATGCTGCACAATGTAAATATTTTATAATTGTGTTAAACATTAAATTTTATTTAATATTTTGACAATCACAATTACAATATTTGTCTTGTATATTACAGAAATTTTAAATATTTTATTGTTTAAAATTGTTATTATATTTAAAATAATTATAATATTCTTCGGATGGATATAACTAGTTGTTAGTTGTATCGTATATACCAGGGTTAAAATATAAATCTTTCTTATAC